ACACGGAGGTTGGCCAAAGCTGCGAGAGCTGGCTCCTCCTTTTCCTTTGGAGGGGGAGAGCCACGCTCCGACATCTCGGATGCCTCTTTGGGAGCATCCGGCAAGGCAGTGTCGCGCCATGGGATCGAAGGAGGCATGGAGACTTTGGCCGCCTTTTGGACGACGTCTTCTACCACTGGCTTCGCCTGACGAGATTCCACCTCTGTCAGTGGTTCTGGCCCATACGGGTTGGTCCACTGACCTGCGGCAGAAAGGTCCCAGTATGGAGGCGGACATGGGCGCCGGGGCGGAGGGGGTGGAGGTGGGAGGGTCAAGAAAAACTCGAAGCCGACGTCAAACATCGTGCAGACCTCGCTGGTCTTTGTCTGCTTCGGTTGCTTCCGCGACGACTTCTNNNAGAAGTCGTCGCGGAAGCAACCGAAGAAGCAACTCTAGGCTACCTCGGAACCGCAGCTTGAGCCAAGATCTTTCGGAACAAGCTTGCGGCTGGCGGGCGTTGAACTCTTCCAACGAAGGTCTGTCGCTTCTTTGCAGGTTTCCACAAGGCCCTTCCTATCCTGGCATAGGGCCTTGTGGTAGCTAAGCTGTCATGTAAGTGCCTGGATAGTCAGATAGTCCCTACACGGAAATCGGAAAGCCCCCCTAAACCCTAAACCCTAAACCCTAAACCATAGACATACCCTGAACCCCAAACCCTAAACCCTAAACCCTAAACTCTAAACACTAAACTCTAAACCCTAAACCCTAAACCCCACACCGGTTTCAGCCTGGCAGGAGTGCAGCGCACGGCTTCCACAGCGAGGTCATCCTGAAAGAACGGTAGGTCCAAGCGCGAAAGGAGCCAGGGTATGTAATGTAGGGGCCTCAATAATTAGCGTTTAGGGTTTAGGGTTTAGGGTTTAGGGGTTTAGGGGTTTAGGGTTTTTGGGGGTATATTATACTATAATGAGAAGAAGGAACTCCCAAAATAGTAGAGGTAGTTATTTTGGCTTCTATATTACGGTTGTCAAAATTCTAGACTATGACGACGGCCTTCTGAGCGGTCTATCGTGCTTCAAGTATGAGGCTCTTTACCTTGATACAAGAAAGGCTGGAATGACTGGCAGAAGTGGAGAAAACCCACATGAACTAGGTCACCGTGGGAGGGCCCATCTCGAAACCCAACACCCGCAAGCCTACACCCTGAACCCTCCTTCTTCGGCACCACGTGGTGCCATCATTCCCAAACCATCACCCTGAACCCTAAACCCTAAACCCTACACCCTACACCCTAAACCCTAAACCCTACACCCTACACCCTAAACCCCAAACCGAAGGGCTGGCACACTAAGGGCTCCTATAAGGGTTTAGGGTATAGGGGCCTCAATGAAAATAGGGTTCTGGGGTCCTTTATAGTATAATCATAATCAGGAACCCCCGAGATAATATATATATATATATATATATGTAGGGGCCTTAATACACTACGTGGGGGAAGACCCTAACCCCAAACCTACTCACCTCCGCGTAGCTTCTGATGAGGTCTTGCAGAACGGCACTGATAATTAGAATAGGGTTTTGGGGTCCTTTATAGTATAACTACAATCAGGAACCCCCGAAATAATAATATGGGTAATTTTTGAGGCCCCTACATTATCGATAAGGGTTCGATAGGGGTGCTACAAAACGAAACTACAGCGGTTCTATAAGGGGTACTATAAGGGTCTTACAGGGGTACTGTAAGGTTCTATTAGGGTACTATAAGGGTTCTAAACGGAAAGGCTTCGATAGGTCTATAAGGGGTTTGCGGTCTACCCATAGGCTCCATAGTAGTTCCTTTTTGCGGCTCATATGCAGGATCCTCTAAGGTTATCCCAAAAAGGAACTACTATGAAGCCTGCGGGTAGTGTTGGATACTGGTAGCGTTTAGTGGCCGGAGCAACCCGCATCCGTGACCTCTCCCACGAGGTCCGTCGGTGTTAGAAACTGACTTCCCCAATAAGCCAGGGAAATAAAAGGTTGAACTTGTAGATTAGGGGGTTTAGGGTTTAGGGTTTAGGGGTTTAGTACTACTAAACCCCAAAAGGCCAGACCAGCAGCTCTAGGCTTGAGGGACGCTTGGGCTCTCGGCTTCAGCTTTACAGGGACATAAATGGTACTACTAAACTATAAGAACCCAAAATTGTTTAAGGGTTTGGGGAACTAAGGAAAACTCCCAGCCACAGCATCCTAAAGCCTCAACCCTGAGATCCCTCATGGTCTGAAGACACAGGCCCTGACATCTTCGCGCCGACTTCTGCCTCCTCCGATTCTCACCCAAGAACGGACAGCTCGAACCGAAAGCTCCCCTACTGTAACCCCAAAAACCACTCCAAACCCTAGATTTCGCAAGCGACTACGGTGTACAACTACGGCAGACAGGGGCCGTTATCTCCTGCGCCCACAGAGTATTCTCTGTGGGAGCAGGAGATAACGGCCCCCGTCTGCCGTAGTTGTACACCGTGGTTGCTTGCGAAAACCGCGCATCTCGTCCGCCGTAGCTTTCAGTTTGTGCAGGGGAGCACGGCGACAAAGGACCTTGCCTGCTGTATACAGTAATCGGACAATGTAAAGGAGGCTGGTGTGCCCGGCATTTCTTCACACACGCGCAGGTTCGCCAAGGCTGCGAAAGCCGGCTCTTCCACTGGCGGAGTGGAGCTACATGACGGATCCGACACATCATCCGCAAAGGTGCTATCAGGCCTGCAACCTTCCTCGCGACATGAGCTCGAACTTGCAGTGGTCGCCTCGTGGAATGCAGCTTCAATCACCGGCTCCACGGCAGGAGGCGCCACCTCTGCTGGCGGATCTGGCCCGTAACAGTCGGTCCAATGCAGCTCGGAGCCGTTCTCAGGCCGCTCTTGCGGCAACGTCCCAGAGAACTGCGGAACATCGGCGCGGGGGCGGAGGGGGCGGAGGAGGGGGTGGGTGAAAAAACCCGAAGCCGGCATCCCACACCGTGGAGACTTCGCTGGTCATCGGTTTGAAGAGCTCGTACGAGTACATCCGACACCAGGCTGTGTAGAAATCGGAATCAGAAGTTGTGGAAGTCCTCGGATCTTTGGCAACTTTGTGGACCGATGGCTCCCGACCTCCAAGCGACGGCGTAGGCATGTCGTCGGGAGAGCAACCGAAGAAGCAGTGCTAGGCTACCTTTGAGCTCCAGCTTGAGCCGTACGCAATTTAAGGATTGCTCTACCTTTCGAACATGCTTGCAGCTGGAGTTGAACTCTTCATGTAAAGCCCGCACCCTGCGCTCATTGTGCGAAAAACCCAAACCCGTACAATCTGAAGCCCTGCACCCGTCTTCAGACCTGTCCGGATGAAACGGACGAAAACCCCTATGACCCTCAAACTCCACATCTTTGTACTCTTTTGTTATGACAACATCCCGGAACCCTCGTACATCCTTGTACCGCCCCACCCTAAACCTTAGACCTAGAACCCTAAACCCTAAATCCTAAACCCTAAACCCTAAACCCCAAACCCCCCCAGCCTCGCAGCATCTCGCAGCTTTGCGTCAGGGCTTTCAGTGCCGGCTGCAGCAGGGACCAAGGCCTCGTAAGGATCAAGGACCGTGGGCCTGTTACTGTACCGGGGATCGACCCAAAGAACTTATCTCCGCATGCAATGATCTACTGTAGACTCCACTGTAGCGTCCCCTTTCGACTCCTGCACTTTCCCATCGGCTGCAGCGCAGCATTCCCCCCAGCAGAATTGTCTTGAAGGCTTCTGCGACCGGCCCAAAAGCGTAGCAATGAATGCTGTGCCGGAAGCGGTGCAGTGCTGGCACGCATCCGGAGCGGTGGTACGCAGCTGGTCCCTGAAAACAGATCCTTCTTATGGGCACCCTGAAACTCCACAACGAGCAAGTAGGATGCCGTATGATCCCTGTAACGCGGCCCGAGGTTCGAGCAATTGCTGTCGCTTCAAGAAGCCCTGCACCCGTTTTTGATTCTTTGATTATCAATGATGATTCATGAGGGTTGAAGGTTGAGGATATTCAAGGTTACAGGGCTTCGGGCATACGGGG